CGGAGCAAGTCAGACAAGCCCACGACCAGCCAATCTTTGCGCAATCCATTTTGGAGTCCAATTTGTGGCCAGGCAAAATGGAACCAGAGTCTGAAGTTCTCAAGCGAGGTTTCTTGCTTGTATAATCCTTACAGTGCTCCAAAGCACTGACTTCCCAATTGGGAGAATCAGGGCAGTAGTTAGCTCTGACAAAAAGGAGGTGTCAAGGGTCCAGAGTCTGAAAGAATCCTTCGACCGTTTCTGGGGCTCGCTTCCCTAAGCTACTCGAGAGAATAGCAGAACTTGGGAAATTCGCCAACACCGAATGACCCGAAAGGAACCGGAACACCTCCAAACCCCCGCCCCCCTCTTCACCTCGCTGCTTTTCCCAAAATGCATGGAACGGCAGGTCTGCCATGGTCTACCCTCAAACGGACCGACCCGCCTTCGGGGGCATATGGAAAGACGGTAGAGTCGGATTCGGCTCACAAACCAGAAGGAAAGAGCAACAGAGTTGGGGTGACACACTTCATGTTCACATGATCTAACCAATTAGGTGTCTTAACCAAGTGGTGTATTAAGCAGTGGTTTGGGTTGCTGGGTCCAGTGGGCGGTCCACACAGTTCACGGACTTCCACAGGCGTTGTCCAGGGGAGGAAGTGTTCATTCTTGGAAAACATATCTGAACCATTCCGAATCATTTATATGTGTACGTAGTCAACTTGTAGTGCAAAACATATCTGTGGCAAAACTAATATCTGAGCCGGAAAAACATATCTGAGCCGGGGACTAATATATATATATATATATATGTGGTCCACGGCTCTTGAGAAACTTTATCTAGCGGATTCATGGGCACATCATGATGGGTGGGTGGGATTGTTGGGGTGGTTGACACGAAACATAGTCTCACCTCAAATGGCACAAAGCGCCCCATCCGACCCTGGCGATGAATTTCACACCCTACTTCTTGAAGCGCCACTGCCAGGGCCCAGGCCCAGTGAATGATGGAACAAGTCTCCAGGTGAGTTCTTCTCGGTTGTTGCCGATACAGTCGACCTCGTGTGGGGCCCAACGGTGCTCTGCAAAATGGGCGCGACGTCTTCGTCTCAGCTACGAAAAACACACAAGTCCAATCACTTTTGGTCCCTACCGTGAATCCCTAGTTGCCTGAGATTCTTTACGTCCCCGCAACACGTTAGACCTGCTATATACTTGCTACTTGGGACTTCGCCCCCAAAACCCTTGAGATCCTCGGCGATTCTCCAGGCGCCCCACCGGGAGCCTCATTTCGTCCACCGCCTCGGTCGAGGACTTCGCCACCCGGTGCGGTCATGCCTTCGGCACCCGGTCCGTATGGTGGGAGCACCGTGGGTACGGTGGGAGCCATGCCGCGATGGATGGTGATGGAACTGATAGCTTAACTTATTAACCAACAAAGTGTTGAGAACCTTTTCATGGTCAGAACTTTGCCCTCCGCATCTTTCTGTGACTGCAGAGCACCTCAGAAAAAAACGGCCCCCAAAGCACCGAGGGGTGCTCCCCCCATGCCTCCGCCGGGAGGCCTCCAGGAGCGGCTGCGGGATCGTTGTTTTTTACTCCTGCAAGGCGACGGCAACGAGGCAATTCCAACGAGCTGGGAAGCAACTTGTCATCATAGGTTTCCGAAACCCCAGAGTCCGAAATGATTTTAGCGTTTCACACGCAGTTTGAGGTTGCTAGCGTGCCTTAGAGGCGTGAACTGCACCCGCAGCAACTTAGCATCGTCAATGTACTAGTAGCTGTGCTCCTGCGCAGCAGCAAGCGATCGCCTGGCCCAAGAGCTGCGAGAAAAGGAACTATGCTGTCAATAGCGCAACCAACAAGTGAGCTAAACAAGTTGGACCGGAATGAACTTTGAGTTGAGCCCTGGTTCATTCTGATGTCCATTTCCTTCTACAGTCAGGGGATGTTGGCGGAACTAGATAACCACATGATCACGGTGTTTGGAGAAAAAACAAGATGGAACCCACGAACCCGAATGCAAACACGATCGAAAAACTACATATGTCCAAATGACACTCTTGTAGGACACTCTTGTGGGAAAATCTTCTGGGACACTCTTGTAGGACACTCTTGTAGGACACTCTTGTGGGTCACTCTTGTAGGAAACTCTTGTGGGACACTCTTGTAGGACACTCTTGTGGGACACTCTTATAGGACACTCTTGTGGGACACTCTTGTGGGACACTCTTGTAGGACACTCTTGTGGGACACTC